CTGTACAGCAGAACGCAGGAGAAGAAGGTTCAACACTCTTCAGCAATAAATAAAAACAATGAAGCACAATTGTTAGTTTATCTCAAGTCATTTTTGCTTATTAGTATGGTTGAACTGGATCATCAAAGGTCAGCAGCGAAGACATTGGATAATAAAATGGGATTAGATACATTTGTGTTATTTAACATATTTAATTATTGCAGGTTTGCGTCATATTCTGCGTTTGCATTTCACTGGTTATTTGTACTTAAATAGAGTAGCCTATAGGCTACTTCCATGACTATGTTTTTAACGCACTTAAGTAGACTTTTAAAAAGAGCATTTTGTGAAAATGTCAAATTAAAAAGTATTACTTTAAAGTACATTTTAAATCATTGTTTAAATAATTTTTTAATGATGCAATAGCACTTATTTTCATTTGTTCACCAAAAGTAGGCCTACTTGATTATAATTTAACTATAGTGTGTAATTATATATTTTATTTGAAGTTAATATATTTTAAATGCCCTAAATTGCAACTTGATCATTACAAATGGACATAAATGTATTTATTTATTTATTTTTGTTTGTTTGTTTACCATAAATGCTTGTAAGTACAGTTGGCAGCAGAATTTAACTATATTTTAAAGACAATATAAGTAATTATTAAAAACGTACAAACAAAGAAAATGTGCTTGCTATCAAAAAGCACTCAACTAATTGCATTTTATATAAATTTAAACTAACACAGTTTCATTTCATTGCAATTAAACTGAAGTGTTTTCCCAGTGCTCTAAAAGCTTTGCAAAAACATATAAATATTGCCATTTTAACCTCTAAAAACCCTCTTTAAACTCTGATTAGAACGTTTAATTAACTGATTTAAAAACTGATTACACATATATGATTTGTGGTTGTTTTTCACACTGTGCATATTCTCAGAATAGACCTTTGGACCTTAATAATCTTATCAAAGATAATACTACCTCAGAGTTAATAAAAACAAACTTTTATCTCTTAAATACATATTTATGAATCTGAGGTGAAATGTTCTTGACCCCAAACCTCTGAGGTACATGTTTGGCTGTCCGGTCATGGAGTTTCAGAAGGTGCTGACCACACGGATGTGAATGTTCTCTTATCTTATCTATAAGAATGTTCTGTTTCGGAGAAAATGGTTCAAACTTATCTCAACTCACTTCCTTTAGGTTTTGGTATTTGATTCTTAGAAGAATAGCTCATGCAGAGAAATGAAATGCTTTAAGGCAAGCAGATTAGGCAAAAAATAAGCATTAAATGTGTATTTTTATTTACTTCAGCCCAGTAATAGAGTGGTGTTTTTCTCATAGACAAACGCAGAAAAGAAATGTACCAAAAGTATTTGAAGTGCATAAACTGGTGAGAAACAGGGCCATTTCTAAAACAGCTACCACACTGAAATCCCCTTGTGACCCAATTCAGCTTCGGAGAGTTCAACTGTGGGAGTATGTCATGTTTCCTGCTCTCTCACAGCCTTTCCACAGGTACCAGCGCAGATCGAGTTTTGCGATGGTGTGAATCTGGAAGCGTGCAAATACCAGAACACTCATAATGGTCATGTCCAAAATAAAGCCACTATAAATGGAAACTAATGACTATAATAATGACTATAGAGAGTGTGTGAAAATAGATAAATCAAAGATCAATGACATTTTTAACAATCAACCTGAAATCACCGAAAGAAAAGTCCCTGTCACCACTTCCCATTTTATTAATCTGTAATGAAAAGAGTGAATGAAGTCACTTCTGTTACAGCAAGAGATTTGTACACATAATATTGACTACAAACTAAGATTTATAATTGGTGTTAAAAGAGTAGCTCACCCAAAAAGGAAGATTTGCTTAAAATGTACTCATACAAGATGTAGATCAGTAGATTGTTTCTTCATCAAACAGATTTGGAGAAATTTCGCATTACATCACTTGTTCACCAATGGATCCTCTGCAGTGAATGGGTGCCGTCAGAATGAGAGTCCAAACAGCTGATAAAAACATCACAATAATCCACAAGTAATCCACATGACTCCTGTCTATCAGTTGTCATCTTGAGAAGAGAAAAGCTGCATGTTTGTAAGAAACAGATCCATTCAGATGAAAAAAAACAAACTCTTGAAAGGCCTGAGAGTGAATACATTTTCAGCAAATTTTCAGTTTTGGGTGAACTATTCCTTTAAACATGCAAAGTTTGTATAGTTTTTTTTAATTGGTTTTAATGCAAACGTTTTGCGAGGACTCTGCAGAATTGGGATTATGGCTTAAGGTGCTGCAAATTTAGTTGTCTACAGATCTCACATTAGCTTGAAATCGGTTGAATATAGGCTTGAAAACTGAACCTCCTTTTTGATTTTCAAGGGATTTGTTTCTGCCATGCAAAGCACTGTAACTGACTTTGCTCTATTACATGATCTTGATTGCACCTATGAAATATGACAAATGCTGTTATGCATTGGTGGAGTCAAGTATGACGAAACATGTTCTTATACATACTGTATACATAAATAATTAATAATAATATTCTACAACAATATAAACAACATAAACAAATGCAAACATGGGAAAGGTATCTTTTAACTGTTATAATATTTCATATAATAATCAATTTTGACACAAATCATTGCAAATCATATTTACTGTACATCATTATTCATTAAAAAAACAGCAAGCAACCTCAACTGAGCTTTGAAATTAATTTAAAGATTTGTTTGCAACATAATTTAATTTAGTAGTTTATTTTATAAAAAAAAAAAAAACACTTCACACTTCTCAATATAACATTGCTGCAAATTTAGTTGTCTACAGATCTCACATTAGCTTGAAATCGGTTGAATATAGGCTTGAAAACTGAACCTCCTTTTTGATTTTCAAGGGATTTGTTTCTGCCATGCAAAGCACTGTAACTGACTTTGCTCTATTACATGATCTTGATTGCACCTATGAAATATGACAAATGCTGTTATGCATTGGTGGAGTCAAGTATGACGAAACATGTTCTTTTCACTGAAAGTCATTACTGAGTGGACATGTGTCCTGACATGTTATGTATGTGACATGGCAACGCTTAGTAAAGTCAATGCGAGTGAATCATGAATATCCCAAAATTCCCCTCACACAGTCAACATGAAGTCATTATTGAAGCTCCGCATGCTGCTGGAATTTTGTTGACCATACATGGATTGTGCCAAAAATAAATGTGTGGTCACTTCTTGAGTTATATGGGAATTTTAAAAAGGGAATTTAGTGGGGAATATATATATATATTTTATAAAAAAAAAAAAAAACACTTCACACTTCTCAATATAACATTGCAATATCTACCACTCATCCTGCCAAAACCAACACCAAAACATGTATTATAAAAGTTAAACAAGGTAACCAAATCATTTCAGCAAGGTGTAGTTAGTAAGTCTGTGAAGTGTAGTGAAGGGCACATAGAGTGTTGAATAACATTCACTCTCTTATATTTCACCAGCTTCCCTTAAATAGTTACAGTTCCTCTTTTCTAAAATCCCCTGAACTTTCCCTGTCATGTCTGGCCCAGGTGCGTGATAATGCGTATCCCAGAAAGCATGCAAGCCCGCTGAGCGCTTCAGCAAAAAAACAATAATATTGCTGATACAGACCTACGAATTGATCATGAGTTTGTTTAACTGTCTTTGGTGAAAGTACAAAGCTGCTTTCAGATGAGTAGCCAGCTGCTTCCCAGAGCAGTGCGAAGATATTGTGCTCCTGTCAAAGAGAGGAGATTGGCCTAGGACATAGAGTGGGGATTTACACATCTGTAATTGTTCAGCCGCTCAGGGGAATTCCCTCGTGCATGTATCTATTTGCTTTTTATGACCAAGGCGTATAATATAACATGAACCAAACCTCAGCGGGCAAATGCTTTTCTACTGGTGTCAACATCTGCTACTTCTGTTACACCTTCACACTGATGGCAAGGCTGTATTTTGATGGTTTTTGTAGAGGGCCGACTCGAAAACATACATCAAAAAGCAAAAAAGCCAACGCTTACAGCACGCTCTGCAAAATGTGTGAAAATGGGTATTTGAGTTATGGGAATGGGGCTTTTGGTCGATGCAGTGCGCAATGTAGCAAAAGCATTTACCACAAATCTTTGATGTGGATATGCATATTTTCCCCCAAGACATGAAACAAGACTCGCATCTCTTTATGTTCTTCATGTGACAATGTGTAAGAGGAACCGTGCCTCTCCAGGGGCTCTTTTTAAGGGTACCGATCCAGTGGCGTCAGCAGTTGCACACATGTAGGCTACCACATTAGAGATAAGGGGAGTTCCTTTCTTTGCTTTTTTTAATGGTAGCGGACTTCTTTTCAATAAAGTTTCCTTGAAAAAAAACAAACAAAAAACGGTGAATTCTCTGAATGAAACAACTGACTATTTTTACATGTACCCTTATGATGCAGTTAAGGAAGTACTGCAATTAAGGTAGTGCATGTATACAGACGCTGCGTCCAAATATGCCTACTTCCATATTATATAGTATATGAAAAACAGTACAGCAAAAGAGTAGTTAGTCCGAATTCATAGTAGCAGTAGGTGAAACATACCCGGATGACCTACTACTTCTGGCGAGATTCTTAAAGGTATAGTTCACCCCAAAATGAAAATTCTGTCAGTAATTACTCACTCTCATGCTGTTCCAAACCCGTAGGACCTTTGTTCATCTTCGAAACACAAATTAAGATATTTGTGATGAAATCCGAGAGCTTTCTGACCTTCTATAGAGAGCAATGCACAAATTACACATTTAAGGCCCAGAAAGGTAGTAAGAACATCAATAAAATAGTCCATTAGTCCATGTGACATCAGTGGTTCAACCTTCATTTTATGAAAGAAAATAAAAATTATGACTTTTTTTCAACAATTTCATCTCTTCCATGTCAGTTTTCACTGTGCATTCATTTTTCATTTTTGGGTGAACTATTCCTTGTGTGCATTTGTTGGACACTTAACTATCCCATGAGGCCAGGGGAGATGATGTTGCGACGCAACATGACAGTACCTATTTTTATGCACATCTTAGGATATTAAAAACGCTGGATGGAAACACCAAGATGCGCATAAATTCTGAAAATGAGCATAAAAAAACGTATGCGCTCATCTAAGTTGGATAATTTTTTTATCCGGTAAGAAAAAATGCGCATAAACTATGATGGAAACACTTTTACCGAATAAATTCCTTAATGCGCATCAAAAAAGACATGCGACTTTGCAATGGGACAGCATAAAACTGGACCAGCCAATGGGCCAAACTCATTGCACAGCATCTGAAATGCTAGTTTTGTCATTCGAAAATGCTTGACCAAAGTCTCGTCAAAGTGCTTCGTTACAATTAACATGCGTTCCCAAACAGCAGGCTCCGAAAATAAGACAACATGACCGCGTTTCGACTGCGTGCTCTGAAGCTTGTAATTTATTGTATACAAAAATTATTACATACAGTGCCTTCTCCTACTGCAGCAAATTGTATTTTTCTTTGTGATATTTAGCGCAAATTAATCAGGAAGTGACGATTTTGTTCTCTCCAACTCACTGGATGGAAACGGTGCTTTATTCGCCAATGTTTTATGCGATATTTCAGTTTTGCACATAAGTTTAATTCGTAACTTTGGATGGAAACATAGCTTGTGAAACATTTAGTACATCCAAATTTCTTACATACTATTCGCTTTTTAACAGTCACGAGGTAAGTTTCAAATCAAATGTAGTACTAATTAGACGTTGTGGCATTAGATGCAGCTAGAATGTGTGATTTATGCTAATTATTAACATGCCTTTTTACTATTTCTGACATATTATTTCCAAACATAGTGTGGCTAATCAACATAAACAATTATTTTAGACATAATTATTCATAACTGGCCATTTCACAGAAATAGCGTTAAAAAAAATAGTATTTTAGAACCAAAAAAAAAAAAAACTCACATCACCCTTATAGTTTTGATTAAAATACACAACATGCAGTCAGATGGTTGCATATGATCTAGTAAAACTTCAAATATTTCAACACACCCAAACCTCAAATCATCCAGTACCACTCTCCATTGGAAATGGATGACTTCCTATAAAGAAAATGCAGCTTCAGAGTAACTAATCATATAGTAAAATACCTGTTGCGCAAAGATCAAGAAATTTACAGCTTTGCGTTACATGGTTTTATTGCTGGTTGGATACATTTGAATTGAGGTGTTTTAAATGTGTTGCTGACTAATTTGAAAGAAAGAAAGGCCAAAACTCTAGAAGTGAAGAACATTTAGTATTTGTGGCCTATTACAGGCTGATTTAACTAACCTAAGAATTTGGTCTGGTTGGGGTATAAACAAATATATTGCGGTATAAATGTCAGTAAAACAACCTCATGTCTTAGGGAATAATATAAATAATAGGTAGCATTTACTGCAAGTCTGCTCATGTCTCAGTAATTCCTTCCTCTAATTATTAGGGTAATTGGACTACTGGTGTACATGTAAACATAGCCATTGATACATTTTACTACAA